CTTAATTTATTTTAAAGAGAAATCAAACATATACACACATGAAAGAAATAAAAAAGTTAGATGAAAAAGTTTATCAATACTTGATGAATATGAAGCTAGAAACATGAGTCGGGCATGCTTACGGGGTTCAATGTCAAATGTGATTTGCTATTGAATAACATGGTTGAAAGTTTCCATATTTTCATCAATGAATAATCACCATGATGAAGAGATTTCTTATCATAGTGATCGACATAAAAACCTATAATCAAATAGTTTATCTTGGAATTCGAAAAAGTTGGAGTTTATTAGAGATGAAAGATTGTCATGTATTGTTATTCTTAGCTTGAATAACAAGTTTGAAGTGGCTCCAAATGAAGAGAATTCTATTGTTGTTGATTTAGATTGTCGACATGGGCTCGCGGGAGATGAGCGAGAACAAAGAGTCATCACATAGCTAATTAGAAAGAACTAATAAAAACCCTAAATGCATCTGGTCTAAAACGATATCCGAGTAAGGGGTCGGTTATTTATGGAGAAGATATAACATAACCACCATCTCGTCCTATCCGAGGTAGGTTACATTGAATACATATGAAAATAAAATTTTGATTTTTTTATTGTGTTATGCTTGTCATATTTATTTAAATGAATTTATTTTGTTAAGATATAAAAATAGAATAGTTTGGAGGTTTGGGATATAAAATAGAGTAGTTTGAGGATTTAGGTCGGTCTAAAATCAATACCCCCGCTCAAAGGAAAACAAATAAATTGTTTTATTTCGCATCTTCATAGGATGCATGATCCTTCATGAGGCACATAATTGGCTATGCAAGAGGGGATTGTTGGCTAGTTCTTGCGAGAGAGGGCTACCGACGTGCAAAAAGGGCTACGCTTGAGTTGCTAGCTAGTTACTAGGTGAGGATGGTTTCGGGTGAAGTTAGGTTGCAATAGATAGAGAGTTGGCTGGATAAAGATTTAAAGGAGATGAGTAGCTGATGTTATAAAAAATTGAGAGAGGGTTCAATTATTGGTGGGTTTTAGGTTTTTTAGGTAAAAGTCTGTTTTGGTCCTTGATTTCCTATAATCTACCAATTTAAATGCGATTTTGATTGTTTCAATTTCGATAGGACCCTTAAATTTCAATTAATTAGAACTTTTCTCTTTAATTTCTTCCAATTATGCCTCTCTTTTATTTTAATTAAGGGACTAAGGTTCGGGTTTTTTAATTATACCCCAATTGCCTTTTTTTAATTTCTAAACTCGTTATTTTTTTAATTAACCCTGGAACTAATCAAAGCCACTTGTTTCAATTGATATTTTTCTTTTCTTTTTTTTTTTGACTTGGCATTTTTTTTATTATTATTATTTTGCATTTTTTTGTAATAAAAATTAAAAAAAAATAATGATAGAGGTAAAAAATTAGGTGTTAACATGGATAAGAAGTCATGTACTCGTAGGAGATGATCGAAATTCCTTGTTTGTATGCATCTGCTGCCATTCAATACATCAATCTGAGAGTTGATGACTTTGTGCATGACTGCTACATCAAAGAAACTTCTTGCAAGTATATCAGTTTTCTGTTCAACTTATTCCAAGGCCTGATGATTGGCTAGAAACTGAAGACTACAACACCATTAACCCACTAGTTGCCAAAAACTAGCTGGTAGGTCCAAGAAACAAAGAAGACAACAGATTGAGCTAGAAGAACCCAACCTTTATAAAATTAGCAAAAGTGGACAAGATCATGACTTTCTCTCTCTTTTTTTTCTTTTTCTTTTTCTTTCTCTATTTGTTTCAGCTAAATGTTCTGATTTTTTATTTTATTTTTCAATTTTTGCCACATAATAATTTTATCTAACATGACATTATACATATTAATTTTTTTACCACCTGTCATATTTGTTTAGAAAATTGGTATGAAAGCTATTGGATGGATCTGGTTAAGAAAATTTAGGGAATAAAAAGATGCAATAAAAAAAATAAGAATAGAAGAACTATATTAAGAAAATGTAAAGAATAAATAAGTGTTTCATCCGATTAATAAACCACCTGAGTAGGTCAACTAAGAAATCATATTGTACGAATAGTTTTCCAAAGTAGGTAAGTACAACAAATAAAAAGCAAAATAATAATATTGGTAGGATTTTACTCATTCCGGAAGGGACATATGGTGCGTAGTCCTTGTCTGTAGATACTTTACAATGGTATATATGCTGGTAGACTCTGCCTGAGATGTATTTTTATGGTCTTCGCTGATGAAAAAGACATCTGGTTTGAAGTCGTCTCCTTTTTTTTTTTTTTTTTTTTGCCTCATGCAAATTCTTCATTCATTGTATCGAATTATATAATGTAGTGATCAGATGTTGACTGAAGAAGGGCATAGTGCTCAAGAAAAAAATTAGTCATGTCCATTTAACTCATTCCAAATTGATGTCTAGTTAAATTGTTTTTCTGCTTTTTGAATGAAACCCCTCTAGTGAGATTCAAAAACTTAAATCATTAAAGGCATCTCCTCAGGGGCATAAAGGGAGAAGGTGGAGAAAAGGAAAATTAGTCAGAATATTTTTATCTGAAGTAATTATTTGGTGATTTTCATTTTTAGCTGTGAGCTCTGGGAAACATTATTTTAGCCTTTTTAGGTGCAATGACGATGGTCGTGTAGATGAAAAGAAATTTTACTCTTTCACACTAAGGTTTTCTTCCTAACAGTGGCAAAATGTGAAAGGCAGAAAGGTCCTCCCATTGCCTTCATTGTTTGAAAAAAAAATACGCAATTAAATCCGATCACAATTTCTCCATAATAATAAAAAAAAAGGTCAGGCTACAATTAAACATTAACGTGTTCAATACGACGCAGCCAACCCTAAGTCCTTTAATATAAGGCCAGATAAAGATTACTTGGTATTTAGCAACTTGGATGATGCCATAATTGACTTTCTCGTAGGGCATGTTGAGAGAGACTAAAGAGCATTCTGAAGCTCAACAGCGTCCCAATGTAAGGTTGACAAGTTCTGAAAGTTGCGAGAGGCTTCTTTATTGTTTTGATGAATTTAGCTGTTTGCCTTCCTCTCTTGGTCTGCCCTTTGTGCTTGTTCCCTTTAGACTGCCGGTGCCTTCTGCCCTTCTCCTTTTTTTTTTTTTTTTTGTTCTCTTAGTGGACTTTGTTAGGTCTCCACAGTTTTCCTGTTGTTAGTACAACACATTTGTTCCAGGTTACTTTTCTTTCTTTTTGCTTGCCTTTTGCATCAAGGTGTTTAATGAATTTTCTTTGGCTTATCAAAAATAAATAAATAAAACAGAGATAGCAACCAGCATGAAACGTTCACGTCACGCCATTATCCCGCTTTGATCCGTTGGGCTTATTTTGTTATTTTTTATTCTACGATGGAGCGTGCGGATGGGCTCGAACCGGAGGTTGTTGGCAGAACTCCGCTCAACTGAGCCACGCCCCACTTGCCATCATACCGTTGATTGCATCACTGAATTTTTTTCCCTGAATAAACTAGAGTAAATTTTAAATTAATCCCTCTAGTTTTGCTAAATGAATTAAATAATCCCTCTTGTTTTAAACCCTAATTAATTAATCTCCTAATCAATGTTGACTGTTTATTTTTTTTAACAAAAAGTCTTATTTTCTCATTAATTTTTCCATAATTTTTACTTATTTTTTCTATTTATTAAAAAAAAATTAAGTTATAAATAGATTTAACAATATAGAGATCAATTGATTAGTAATTGAAACTAGAGAGAATATTCAATCCCTTTTGAAAAACTAGAGAAACTAATTTACAATTTACTTTCAAGAACTAGGCACCTAGTTAGTAACTAGGAATAAATTATAAATTATTCCTCTATTTTTGCAAAACAAATTAAATAATCCTTCTAATTTCAAAAACCAATTAACTAGTTCTTTACCCATTGTTGATCATGCTTAATCCAATATTATCTAATATTAATTTGTTTTAAAAAAATATCTTTTTTTTCTCATCAAAATTTCCATAATATCTATTTATTTTTTTACATTCTCTGTTTCTTAAAAAAAAATTAAATAAATTGAAAAAACACATAAAATAAATGAAAAGGACTAATCAATTAGTTTTTAAAACTAGAAAGACTTATTCTTTTTGCAAAACTAGAGAGCATTTAGCAATGCTCCTTTAAGAAAGATCTACAACGACCCAACCAAAGGAGACAGGCAAAATATTTGTCTACTTGCCATGCGGTACTCCGTACACTATCTTGAGTTAATAAACAAAAGATGTCAACCAGAAATGTACGAACATCATTGTTATAGACATGAATGAAGTTAAATCGAGTTGGGGTGACCTGGGGAGGAACAATACCGACCTAGGCTTCTATACCCCAGACTATATAGGGCGTTTCAAAAGTGCTTTATGATGGTTTAGAGCGTACCTCTCACATCAACATTACGCAATTCGAATAGAGTTTCTTACATCCCAAAAAGTTACTAAATCTCGGGTTGGGGTGGCCTGAAGGGCGGCAATACCGACCTAGGCTTCTATACCTGAGACTACTTCGGGTTTCTTCCAAGTGCTTTAAGATGGTTTAAAGCACTCACTTACAACATCATGTACCTCTCACATCAACATTATACAGTTCCAATAAAGTTCTTACATCAAAAGGAAATTCACATAATAGTTCAATCCAAGGTTATGGTGATGATGACACCAATTATTCCAAACAAATGTCACAATGCTCTCAAGCTTTCCACTTAAGAGAGTTCAATTTCAACAACACAAGGGAGAAGTGTGTAAAAAGTTGCAATTCGCCTTTTTATTTCTGAGCTGAGATTTACAACTAACAATAACATTACTCTCCCCTATTTTCATGCTAATACCATCAAGACTACATCACTGGAACACTTTTAAGCTGTTCAGATTTGTTGATAATGACAAACTAAAATCCTAAAAATAGATGACAAACACTTAAATTTTATTCATCTAATTTTTCTCTATCCTAATAATTTCAAAGAGAACAAGGATACGTCTAACCTTACACTAGGACCTCTCTTCATCTGACTGGGATGGTAGCCCTGGGACGGAATCAACAAAAAACTCCCCCACTGTTACAGGATAAATCTATCAGCATCACTTGTAAGAAAAAAGAGACGTAAATAGACTTTCAAATGAGGGAAATAAACAGGAATAATTTTACAGGATCTTTTAATGATTTCTGGTAAGTAAAGCATCGGCCAACTTATTCAAACGATCCCTTCTTTTTTAAGAATTGCTTACAATCAAGCTGAATGATGCAAAATGATCATATAGTCTACCATAACTACTTTTGGATTGAGGCTTTGTGGTGGTTATTGGGAACTGCTAATGATATATCATTAGCGTACATCAGTCGCAACAACATTGAAGCCATCTGATTCCATGGTAGAGAAAATTTGTCCTTTAAATGCGTAAGACTGAGTTTCCTAAGAATCTATCCAATCTTCTAATTATTTTACATAGGCATGAAGACATCTATCGAGGAAGAGAATCAAGAAAAAATCAGTCAACAAAGAGATAATAACATAATAGATGTAATCCCCATTACCTATGTCCTCATTCTCTGGAGAATCAAGTAAAATTTCCGAATTAGAGGGCAGAAAGGGGGAACCAGGATAGTTTCCTAGAGCTCCTAAATCTGCAAACAGTTCCGAGGTAACATTTAATCAAGGCACGAGGAAAAAGAATTAGCAAAGCACAAGAGTTTCCAGAATGGTAAGATATCTTCACAATTTGCTATGAGATAGCAGCAGGGTAAACATCTCCATGGACATAAATATAAAGCTTTATAACAAATTTAAACAATCTACAAACATTAGTTTTGAACGAATTGGAACAGCAAAATGTTCTTCAACGCAGGGAGGAAAAAGAGGAGATTGCAATTGCAGAACTCAAATCTTTCATTTACTTCACAATATTTCTAGAAAAGTGTGCATCTTAAAGCATACTACAAAAACCAGTAACGTGGAGAAATGTGAGCAGCTTGGCATCAGGCAATTTCAGAATGATTGTATATTTCTAAGGTGTCTTTTCTATCCATCTAAACTTCCAATACTTAATGACAGTTTAAACTCTTGTCTTCCCCAGATAACAACATAAATTTCTAATGCATTTAACCATACACATAGTATGGTGCAAAATCATCTGTTAGCAGACCCCAACTAGTTTGGGATTGGGTTTTGATTGTTGTAGTATTTAACCATGTACAGGAGACCAGTTACAAAAAGAAAAAATAGCACTATATGTGCACAAACTTTTAAATTTTTCTCACATCAATATACCAACATTTTTTATTGCTCAATGAAAAACTTGTCAAATCCCCACTGATCTATCCATTGCTTGATGATTTGGTGGTTTGACTTAGACCAATGAAGTGTTGACCGAATAACACCATGAAGAGGTTTTTGTTTTTTTTAAGAGAAGGAATGCTTCCTCTTGAATAATATAGCAATTAAAAATAATAACCAAATTTTTAATCATTGAAAGAGGAAAGTTCCCATTATATTACTGTTTAAAAGATAAATATATTTTTAATTAGAATTAAAACATTATACTCATTTGATTATATTAAAAACAGTTCGAGACTTTTAAAAATATTTTTAAGAAATGAGAATTATTATTATTGCTAGAAAAAAAATTAATTAAGACCGAGTCCTAATTGTAGTTGTTGTATGCATATTTTTATTGAAAAATATTTTGAGAACTTTCCTCTTTATTGATTGAAAGGCTTTGATGTTTATTAACAGTAATTTTTATTACTGATTTCTATAATGTTGAGGGAATTTCATGATATTGGTTGGTCAAAGTCAAACCACCAAGTTGAGTTATTAACAAGTGATAGTGAGCATTACTGATCATATTCATTCTCTTATGTTTAGTTTTAGGATGTGCTTCTAGGTTAAATGTGCTGAATTAAGTTTATTTTGTGGTTTAGAAGAAGAATGGAGACAAAGGAGCAAAAATTCCAATGCGGGCAAAATTCCAATGCTGGCAGATTGACTTTCGGAGTAAAAACGAGAATTTCACATCCTTAGAGCTCCAGAACGTAAAAGAGACCTCTTGAGAATTAAAGTAGACATCTTAAACTTTCCAGATTGGGTTTAAATACACAAATCTATTTTGTTCTAGACTGTCCAATTCGGTTGCAAAGTCAGGATAGAAATTCGAATCTTATGACAGTTCGGAACACTAATAAGTGTTTGGACAATATCTAGAGTTCTACACATTGAATTAAGATGATTCAAAAGCCAATTGAAAAAAGACATTCAGGCCTGCAGCTTTCATGAAGAGCCCGAGTCCATATTCTACCGCCTTCTAGCCCTTAATCAGTTAGAAAGTTACAACACAGAACCTAGAGTTCTATTCACCTACAAGTCCTAATTAATTCTAGGAATAATCCTAAATAGGACTTTGAAGCTGTCATATTTATCTTCATTCATGTATAAATAGCCTCTAGAGTTGCACATTAGGGAGATAAACTTTCTTTAGGATTTATTTCTTCAAACAATGTCTAGCTAACTTTTTTAAATTCAGTTCAAGAAATTTTAGCTTCAATTTGCAAAAGATTGTGAAACAGAGGTTTGATCTTTAAATTGTTCTTGATGATCTTAGTATCTATTGTTTCTTTGTACTTAATTAATTGATCTCTGAATTAAATTAGTTATAATTGCATAGATTATTATCTAGGTGGCCAATTGGTTAATTGTCTATTGTGATTTATAGCTAACTAACTTTTTTAATCTGTAATTGTTCTAAAAAGTTATTACAAGTTGCAAATTAGATTTGATCGCCTAAGAAAAACAAGAGAATAAATTAAAAAAATTTTGGGGTCCTAGATTGTTATTCAATCTTAACTATCTTATTAATTCATAATGCTATTATTGATTTGACTAAAATTGTTTAATATCAAAATCAATTAATAATAAGAATTTAATTCATAAGAGAGTCACTTGAGTTAATGAATACAAAAAGATTCAGATTTATTATAGGGTCTAAGTAACTCTAGGTTAAGTATTCAATGAGAAAATAATAATTTAGGTGTTTACGATCAACTTTAAATTTTATGTTTGAATTTTTCCTCGACTTGAATTTTTCCAAAATTGAGTTTTTCTTATTTGAAGTCTCTTTTATTTTTACAATCTCTACTTTGCAAACAAATCAAATCCCTTTTTTATTTAAATAAATTGAGTTGATCATCTAGTTTTTAGGATTCGACCTGAACTTTACTACAAATTTAGTAAGAACAGTAATTTAAATATAGTGAGTTCAACACGCATCAACAAGCATTTGATGGAAGCACTTTATCAGCACAATTGGAAAAATCAGTACAGCAAATTGTGGACATTTAAATTCCAAGTATTGATTGATAAACATTCGACAATCAAAATGCAATTGTCCAATTGCGAAAAAAGATTCAATTACCTTCCAAGTTCGACAAATCTGTTGTTAGATCTGAAAGGCTGAAACTCCAATGAATCTGATCCAATGATCTGGAATTTCCAGCCCCACCATCTGGTCCAAGCTGCAATCCTACAGAGCTTGCCACATCAGATGTAAATGCCGTATCTAGTGCTGATGTGTCTACCCCCATTCCTGACATGTCAGATGCAGTAAATGGAAAATGGCCACTAGATGCCACTGATGTAGGGCTAACAGGCATCTCAGACATGGATGAAATGGCACTGCTTGGTGGCACTACAGGAGTTGTATCAGCTGCACTGTTTTCCATCACCATCCTACAATAACAAGTGCAGCAAGCAATTAGCTGGTTTTTTTTCAATGAAGAAAAACCGATAACTAATATCAAAGAAAGGAGAACATATTTCACTAGATTTAGGATTTTTCGATGTCACTGACGAACATACCATACATAAATTCCTACCACTTCCAAAAGGAAAACATACGTACACGATTTTGATACCAATGTGCATTCGCTTAGAAGAACTACTTTTAATAAGGATTTTCATTCAATGCCAAGATAATTATATATGTGTTCGACACGTTACCATACACTAGGCAGAGATGAAATCACGCTGAAGTATATAAAAAGGCAACTATCTCACTAATCGGTTAGAAGTGATTGTTAATTCGAAGGGCATATGTATGCATACACAAAGAAAGTTAAGCCGTGTTCAAGTGTCTAGGTTTGAGAGCCTTGGCAAAGATAAGTCTTGTTCATTAAGTAGAAAATTTAACGATAATAGGGTGAAGATGGAAAAGTTCTCACTCATTTCCAGAATTCATCCGAATGGGATGAAAATTTCCTGGTGCAGGAACTCCATTAACCACATGACAGCTTGATATTCCACCGCCCATTGAGTCAAGATGAGGTTGACCTGGAGCTGGCATTGGGGGTTGTTGCAGGACAGGGTATCCCATCGGTAAATTATTGACTGCACTGCAAAAAAGTGACGCTGAATAACAGATACAATGATATAAAAAATACCTTGTTAACACACAGGAAACTGTGTCATCAAACCTTCAGGCACTATGCAACTTGCATTAATAAAATTGTCTTGCAGAAAATGATGAAAGAACCACATTTTCAATACCTAGGATACCTTTTGAACAAAGTACCTTTCGAACAAAATAATGGCAAACATAACTCAGTTATAAGCTTCATGGGAAAAAAATAACAGCAAAGTCAAAAGAGACACTAAAGCTTTATTAAGATCCCAATGAAAAAGAAAATCACTAGACTGAAGATGTTGACGACAATGACACATAAAAACATCTTACAGGTAAGAGTTTGTTTTTCAAGGAAGTGAATAAAATAAAAAATAAAATGAAGTACTAAATGTCAATGGTATTTGGTTTCTTTACATTCAGATAACTCTAACTTAGGAATCCATATAAAAGTTGGCATTAAAGTAAATTTTTTAAGAGTTTCACTATTTATCTCATTCTAAAATTAAGGGATGTTTTGTGCTTTCCGCAATCATTCCATTAGAAATTAGAACTTACCGGGCATGGGATGAATCCCGTTTTGTATGGGAGCCAAAGGAACTTTTGGAGGTACAGGATACTTCATGAGATGATATTGATGCTCAAGCAAATGATTAAATAGAAGGATCTGTTTCTTCAATTTCAGCCTGATGTAATAGGCCCTGAAGAAATCAGCATTTTCTTCTTCCAACTTCTGCCACACTGCAAAAGCAAGGAATAATAAAGGAAAATATCAGATTAGGTTTCTAGTTTGAATTTGAACAAAAAAAAATGATAATCAGGTTACTGTAAGGTTAATTTGTTCAAAGGTCAATATCTATGACAAATGTTCCATGATCATTCCACCTCATACAGCTTTTCAATTCAAAATAAGTGATATAAAATCCATACAGCAAGAGAACTTTGTACAAGCAACAACTTGTTGATAGCAAACACAAACTTAAAATGAAATTTTCAGAAAACCCTACCGAGTGTCGTAAACCCAGGGTCTATCCTAGCACGAGTCGAGAGGGTTTTAACAACCTCATCTCTATTCATATACAATTGTAGGCACCGTTCTATTAAATTTTGGACCTGCAATAGCCATTAATAGATATGGCGGGAAAAGAAAACCAGATTAGTTAAGCTTCTCTTAGGATCAAACCCTGTATAAAGAAAAATGGTGAGTCATAATAATAGCAACTAAAAAAACTTGAAAAAGATCACGTTCTCTCACAAGTTCAATATCTTGGCGTGAAACCTTTCTGCTATCACTGCTAGAAGCAGATATGGAACCAGAGTCTGCTACTGGAGCCTCTGTTTTGGGATTATTCTGTTGCTCACTTTGGGAATCCTGTGAAACCTGGGTGGAGGACTGTTCTTGTGCACTCTATAATCCAGAGGAAAATTCTTGTTAAATTACTGACAGACAAATTATTTACGTGATAGTTTTTAAGTGCCAAAATTACAATTATGACTGAAGGGCAACAAACAGTCCTTCAAAATGTGACTTCTTAACTGATTCCCTGAACTTGGACTTCAGCAACTAGTAAGTCCACTGCTTGCAATACTACCTCTCTTTCTTTCTTTTTTCTTTTATCTAAATTGAATTGGAGTAACACAAGTTTGAAGGTCTACATGAATCTGTAATTCAAAATATCAGATTTAACTCCTATCAACAAGGTTTACAGTCAAGTCAAATGTATTGGAAATCTAGCACATGGTTAAGTGCAGTGGTATCCATACAGTCACCTTAGAATCTGGGTGGTGATGAGTAAAAGTAAAAGTGGCAAATGCACCACAAAGTCACCAATTGAAATATATTTGTAAAATAGCTTGCAGTATGACAAATCAAAATGCATGAATAATGCATCATTACTCAGTGGCTACAACCAAAGGTAGCCACAACTAAAAACAAAAGGCATATGGATGTGTGGAGAAGACCAAGTTCATGAATCAACTGCACAAACAACATAAAGACGATAGAAGAAATGTGCATCTTCAAAGCACATGGAGTGGCTGAGTGTGTACATGCTTGTAGGGAGAAAAGGTGCAACAGAAAGGGGCAGGTGTGATGTTTTCGAGCATATACTAAACTTTGAGGTTTTTGTTTTTACTAGCCAAGAAAAGCAACTACTTAGAACACGAAATAACACAACTTAAGAGAAGACATTAATTGGGAAATAGAGGGGGTGTGGAGGTGGGGACAAAGGAGTGTGGGAGGAAGAATCTTGCACACATGCATACACAAACGAAGACATATGCATGTGTGAAACAAACCTGTAAGGTCTTCATTCCAGCTGACTGCAAGTTGACAGCATCTCTTTGTTTAGCTCATATACTCCCTGGCTGCTGCTGAGGTCATGGAATTTACTGAGGTGAAAAAAAGAGCCTCTACTTCTGCTGGGGTCATATATTAAGGCAATTCAGGCCTGGAAATAGAAAAACATATAAGAAACCACTGGAAAAAAATGTGTTGGAAATATCAATCAACAAAGTTTTTAACTGTGCAAACCGAAATACGACTAGAAATGCTTGCATTCAGATTTTAATTTTCGCACACTAGAAAGTACTTCAAAAGGGCAGGTGTGCGGAGCTGGAGCCCGGCATGTTTGAAGTTCCTTAATTCAATAATATTCAACGAGCGAACAGGAATGATATGCGAATATTCAACCATATTTGATAGGTGTAGAGATCGCCGACACATTTCCCATGCACAAGCATTATTTACAATCATTCAAACTTTAACAAATTCCATAAATTCATATCCTGGTTCCCTGCATTATTTGACCTATGAACCATATTTCATAAACCCATTGTTCTCATTATAAAAAAACTCAGAACTGAAACGTAACATAGGACTGCATTGCACCGAAATTCTACACCGATTATCATTTCCTTGTAAGAATCAGGATTGAGACTTTTAACTACTAGCATAATAGGCAAGTGTGGTCTTCGTTAACTATTTTAGGAGACATGCTACCAATAAGTTATTGGAGTTAGAAGTTTTATACAAACCCTAAGCCCTAATCTCTTGTTCCGACTTCAATATTCTTTGTTGTTTTATTCCTCCTACTCTACCATAGCATTAATCGGGCAGAAAATCTTGAAAATATCATATCCAAATTTGGCACAGCAAAATGGCTCAGGATTTGGCAAAACAAAAGTTTCCTTTAGAAACTCCAAAGTTTTTTCTCCAGGTCAACCACTATTTACGAAGAGACACAAAATTGAAAAACAAACAGATCCCAGTCCATTGATTAGTTTAGCATCAAAAAAATCTATAATAAACTGTTAAAATTGCTCAAAAAATAAAAACATAATTGAGTTAAAAGCACTTTAATTAATTAGATAATTAGCATAAATACTCCCTTGCGTAACCTAATCGAACAAAGAATTTTAAAAAAAATGAAGATAAAACGTAACTTATAAAAACATGTAGAATTAATTATATTCAGTTAAAAATCGTAAGCTATAAACAGTAAGATCCAGAAAATAATTACCTTACACCAAGATTCTGAATCTCCAAAGCTCCCAAAAACAGAAAAAAAATTGCCAAAATTTTTATTTCGACGAATTTATAGAGCTCAAATTTCGACAAACTGAGCTCTATGTTTTGAATTATTTTTAAGAACTAGAGGAATTGGCAAGTTGACACCCTCTAGCTCAAAAGCTAGACTGCAACTGTCGGTTTAAAAAATCTAAAAGTTAAATTTCAACATTTGAGCAAGAATGCACTGCCGAGATTTTGAATGTACAGAAGCCGGAGGAGGAAAAAAATCAGGTGAATTGAGTGATAGTTGTTGGTTAGAAACACGGATTCTATGGCATTACAGAGAGGGTTGAATGATTGAGGCGATGCTCTGCCAAAAAACAGAGAGAAAGGAAGGAAATGGGGTAATATTATTTCTCACCAAATTTAAACTGCGGTGTTTTTTCCTTTTTTGTTTTATAGTTTTGAAAGTAAGCGAAGAAATAAGTTAGTCGGTATTTATTTACCAATTTCTAACACGGCTACAAAGGCTGCTTATGGCACGGCTTCTGTTTTAACGGCGCTGTTAAGGAACAATGGCCGGAAGATTTTTGTTTTCAAAACGGCTCATGATTCTCATTGTGGTCCTTTCATTATTGTACCCGAGAAAATAATTCTCTCTATTGAGGTGGCTAGCCTGATTGGCAAAAGGTGCGTTGGTTCTCGGCCAATACTAAGGCAGACTTAAATCTGAGACGTGGATGTCATATTTTACTGTTTCTAGTTTTGGTTGTGTAAAAAAACTTGATGTAAAAATACCTCTAATTATAAACTAAATTAAGAAAAGAAGAATTCTCGATTATGTTTGACACTCCAATCCATTTTTTAAGGGTTTTATGGTAGAAATTCTCCTCAATTTATTACAATTTGATAATTTTATATTTTTATTATTAATTTATGTAATTTGAATTTAAAATTTTTTTTGGATAAATCTTATTCTTTGTCCATTATTTATAACCATCAGTATTTTGATCGTGAAGTAAAATGCTTCCATTGTTTTTAAAAAAACCATTAAAAAATCATTTGTAGAATTAAAGAGATCTGTCTTAACCCCTTTAATTCTGAATTGCAATCGAGGGGAGAGAGAGAGAGAGCAATCAGTTATGGTAGAGATGATGGATGGAGTTGGTGATTTGGAGCTTAAAGCTGAAGAAGGAAAAAGCAAACACCAGAGGAAATTCTTGGGGAGCAGAATGAGCCAGAGCTTATTTTTCATAGAACAGAGGTTCTTGGGATAGAAGCCAGCAGAAGTAAATCTTTCCATCCCTCAGATGCCGATCTTGAGGCTGAGGGATCTGTTTGGCCTGAGAAGGTTGTGGCTTTTAAGATTTTTGTCAAGGAGAAGGTTTTTTTTTTTTTTTAAATGAAATTTTGATTGGAGGTTTGACTGAACTCGAGGACTAGGATGAGTCTAACAAGCTTGAAAAGAAGAATGCTTATTTGATTATTGAAGCTCCAGCAACTGAAGCTCCTCTTCCAACTATTTCTGGTGAAGATGATGTGTCCACTAGCGACTCAATTGATGAACTAGCAATTATTTTTCAAAAAATGAAAGAATCCATTATTGTTAAGGACCGATTTTACAAGATGCGGAGGTTCACCAACTGCATTTTAGGTTCAGAAGCTGTGGTTTTCTTGTCAGGGGATCAATACTTGGAGAGGGAAGAGGTCAGTTTGATTTTTAGCTTTTCCTTTCGAGACATGCATGGTGCTAGAACCAACAGATGCGTGGTAGATCCCTTTTTTTCCAATTGGCAAATATTCCTTCTTTTAGCATATATTTGTATATAATTCATGCCTCTTATGCATTCTCTCAAATTCCTATGTTGAAGAGGATAAACGTTATCGTATTTAAGGAATAAAGATTGTATGGCTTGAAAACAATAAATTAAAAGAAATTTTTTATTTTTAATTTTAGCGAAAATTTAATAAATTTAGAGATAATATTTTCATTACAGTAAAAAAAGTCCTCATCAAATATATTTTTCATTTTTTCCTTGAGTAAAAACAATTGAAACGGCAGACGAAAGAATAATTGGTGGCTTTTCAACTTAAAAATAAAAATCCGTAGAAAAACCTGCAGTACAATGTCAAAAACCAAGACGACAAAATCCATCAGACTTATCAAGTATCCACGTGAGTAACTTGCAATTAAAGGTCCACCAGACACGTTTAGTGCGTAAGGTTGGCAATTATTTACCTCAAAGCAGACGAATATAGATACAAAGATGGATATGGATAAAAGACACTAGATTTATCCGGATACGAAAACAGATATAGTTTCTTCTTATCCGAGTATTCGCATATATATATATATATATTGTTAAATTTTTAAAATTTTTAACTACATATTTAAAATAATTTGTGTATATTTTAAATATTATTTTAATTAAATTTGTTTACTAAATATAAATATTTTATTTTTTTAATTATAATTATAAAACAAACTAAAGTAAAACGTAGTTTTACTATTTATTTCATTATTTGAACACTATTCACATAATCACAAGTCACCGTTCCTTTAGCTATTCATGTTATTTTTTAACATTTTGATGCTTAAATGTTCTAATTTTTTTTTTATTTCAAACTTTAATTATATTGTGATTTGTTCCTATTTTGTTTTAGTGTTTTATGTTAATTGTTTTTATTATTTAAAATTTATTATTTTAATTTATCATTTTTTTAAATTCTCTTCTTTTTTTTTCAATTTTAAACTTTAATTTGTAAATTTTTTTTATTATTTAAAATGTACTACTTTAATTTGTCATTTTTTAAAATTCTCTTTTTTTGTTTTAATTTCAAGCTTTAATTATATTGTAATTTGGTCTCATTTTATTTTCATATTTTTTATTAATTATTTTTACTATTTTAATTTTTTATTTTTAAGAAAATTCTCATCAATTGATTTAAAATTATATTTACTGATAGTTTTGATTTATTTTGCTATATGTATGGATTTTGGAATAAATTTTTAAAACATGATTATTTTTTCTTTTAAAAAATAGATTTAGATCATTTTTAAATTATAGTGACATGATTAATATATATAATTTGTCTAAAATATATTTTTAGATTAAAAGTGTATTTCAAATAATTTTTTCTCGTTTTTTATATTATTTAAAATTTACTATATTAATTTATAATTTTTTTAAAATTCTCTCTTTTTTTAATTTCGAACTTTGATTATATTGTGATTTCTTCTTGTTTTTGTTAAAATTTACTACTTTATTTTTATTATTTAAAATTAAAATAATTTTCTAAATGATTTTTTTATTTTATTCAACATGTAGCATAACATGGATAAAAAAACTAGTATACTCTATTTGATGGAAATTGATTGGAAAAAACTTGAAATGAACTTTTCAAAGATTGAAAATTGTGGAAGTTAAAGAGGCCTATATGAAAATGGAGATGGAGGATGCATCATCCACATCCATAGCTCTTAATTATCATCTCTGTTTATATGCATGCTTGTGTGACTTCAAATCACTCATCACTTCACTTTTTTTATGAGCATAAATAATTAATAAGAAAAATACTCTAAAAAGATTCCGAGAAAATAAATAGTATTTCTTCCGTATTATAAATACAATGATACATGATCCTGCGCATAACCATAACCACACACAAAACATTATATAAAGTACAATACCATTTCTCCTGTTCAATCACCGGCCAGACTCCAAAACATACATAGAAAGGATCATATCATACGTGACAAGACGTGATGGAATACGAACGAAAAATTTCTGAAATTACCTCGAAAAAACTCTCACTTTGCTGTTGCTTTTGATTGTTACTCCACTTTATGTATATATTTGGATTAATTTTTATATCAATTAAAATTAAATTTATTTATTTTTATTATTTGAAAGCAGATAAAAATACTTTTTTTTTTTTGTAAATCAAGCACAAATAATGATACGATTTTAATAAAAGTCATGGCAACTTCAATTCAGGTGAGAAAATCCAGAATTATTTCGCACTGATTTGATTAGTGTTATATACATTTTTACAATTTATATCGATTTTAAGTATATCTTGCATCACGGACAGACGTGTTCAAGAAACTAAAAAGAGAGTTACAAATACATAGCACATGCTAGGATACTATAAATTTGATGTTATTCATAAAGTAAATAATAATATTTACTTTTTAAGAAAAAATAGACAAAAAAAGAATAAAAAATTTTGATCCTAGAGAAAATATTTTTTATTATTTTTATGAGTCATATATAATTTTTTTTTCTTTTTTATGTTTTTTCCTTTAGTTAAAATAGATTCATGAAATAAATATTATTAATTATTGCATGAATATTTTCAAATTTCTCCTAAAATACCTGACTTTGTAGGGTAAGGAAATGTTGAACAATGAAAGAAACAGACCAATAAAAAAAACCTTCTTACCTACACAATCCAAAAATTAATAGGAAATTTTTACATTCTTAATAAAAATACCAACCTCATAAGCGGTAGGTGATTTTCTTTTTGCTTCCTCCCCTTTTCACTTGTTGTTTGATGATTGGATTTTGTTTTTCTTAAAGAAGATGTGGCAAATCCTGAAAAAAAAAAAAATGGAATTTACATAAATGCTAATGATCCGTCTATGGCAGCCCTACTTTCCAGGAGTCTATTTGAGATAAATGTTGAAAATAAAAGTTAACATTGTGAAGTAGAGTGTTACTTCTATGATAAGTTTTACAGGAGCGGAACTTGAATTTAAAAAATTGGAGTGTCAATTTGAAAAAACTTAGGATAAACATGAAAAAAAAAAAACAGATAAAAAGGATGTAGAGATGTGTGTGTGTATGTATATTAGGGTGCACCATGCGTATTTTCAAAGAATCTAAATCTCAATATTAAGTGTGTAATTAAAAGTTTAGGAGTAAACAGTAAACTTTCTCAAAGTTTAGAAGTGTTGTAGCATCCTTAGTTCGGTACATGGATGGCAATAGGCGGATAGCCGATCCATTAATTTATTTTTTTACCATATACATAAAAAATATCCTATTTATTATTCATTAAAAAATTATCATATAAAATTTTATTGAATTTATACTCGATCCATATTAGTTTACATCCTTATTCAATACCTTGCTAAATTTAATTTGTAAACATATTAGTTTTTCACATGCAACATATTTTTGTGATAATAGTTCGAATGTTATTGTTTTTATTTTTTTTATTAAACTAAATTTCGGTAAACTATATCTCAAATAACATTAATATTTTTTAAAAAAATGGAATTATGTTGTGTGTGTCATTAATGCACTATTGTATAACTTCAAGGTCCGACTTTTTGAGACCTATCACACCACAACGAGGCTCGCGGCAAGGTGACCCGCTGTCCCCATATCTATTTATATTATGTGCTAAAGGGCTTTCATTGCTACTTCGTCGAAAGAGAAGTTAGGTCTTATCCATGGCTGCACAATGGCTAGAGATGCCCTAGCAATATCTCGTTTATGTTTTGCTAATGACTCGTTATATTTTCTTTAAGACTACTCAAGCAAAGAGTAATGTTATTGTGGATGTTCTTGGGACTTATGAGAAAGGCTCGGGCCAGTCAATCAACTTCCAAAAATTCTCTATTATCTTCAATGCAAATGTACGAACTTCTAGGAGAGGTTTGGTTGTTGGTTAGTTCCATGTTACCGAGTCAAATGGACATGGGACATATCTAGGTCTCCCTTCATTGATTGGGAGGAAAAAGAAGGTAGTTTTTGCCTACATCAAGGACAAGACTTAGAAAAGATTGTAGAACTAGAAGCATAGACATTTTTCATGCGGAGGCAAGGAGGTGCTATTGAAATCTACTCGTCCAAGCCATGCCAATTTTTGCAATGGGCGTGTTCTTATTGCTTATGGAGTTGTGTAATGATATTGAGAAGATGATGAATTCATTATGGTGGGGTTCGAGTGGGAGAGAAACCGGGGGATTCACCGGCAATCCGGCAATGTCCGTGTGAACCGAAAAGTAAAGGTGGAATGGGGTTTAAATGGCCGCATGACTTCATTGTAGCTATGCTTGGGAAGCAATGTTAGAGACTCGTTGACTATTCTAGATACTTTAATGGCGTGCGTACTCGAAGGCTAGGTACTTCCCTCGGTCTTCTTTTATGAAGGCTTCGCTAGGTCACAACCCAAGCTATGTTTGGCATAGTTTGTTGGCGAGCATAGGAATAGGTCAAGAATAAGAGTATATGGAGGATTGGAAATGGGATTTCGATCCATGTTTGAATTGATCCGTGGTTGCCCAATAGTGCTTGGCCGTTTGTTCAAAGGTATCTCAACTAATGCGGGATAGGGAATCAAGATGGGACGTTGCCTTCATTGATAGTTGTTTAACCGATAGGGATTGTGGATTAATTCTACAAATCCCGTCGAGCTTAAGAAGATCGATTGATTCGTTGGTCTTGGGTTATACATAGGAGTGAGAAAACTCGGTTAAGAGTGGATATTTTGTCCCGAATGGGAGGAATAACGTGTTTCCTCCTATTTAGATGTCATTTTGGAACAATTTATGGCGCATTAAGGCCCCTCCAAAGGCCTTGAATTTGTTATGGAGAGCTCGTAGGGATTATCTTCCTACTCTATCGAGTCGATCAAAAAGAGAGTGGATGTTGATCTTTGGTGCCTAGTATGTGGTAATGAAACATAAACTATTTTTCATGCTTTGGTTGATTGTCCCAAGTATAGGAAGGTTTGGACCGGATCATGTATAGGTTTGGAGAGAGGAAATGCGAGCTCATTCACAATTTGGTTATAATGTCTTTTTGCTAGGCTATCGACCGAGGAGTGTGAGGTAACCGTTATGCTCTGCTGGAGTAGGTGGCGAGATAGGAATGATGTGGTTTGGAATGGGAAGAGTCAACCGATAAAGGTGATCCTCAAGATGGCTATGGACATAATCTCTTAGTTGAGGAATGCTAAATCCGATAGGGCATCAACTGTTAGCCCCTTATACGCCAAACAACCAATCATCAACAAATGGACCCTACCTCCCCGGGTAGGCTGAAGGTAAATTTGGATGCT